CAGTTTAACAACTTATTAAGCACGTGTAACTAACTATTCCAATATTTTCTCTACTTCCTCCTCCTACTACGTTAACAAGGTAAGACGCATACCTTGCCCCTGAATACTTCAAACGCAGCTTTAGACAAAGGTTTTGTGAGACCATCTACAATTTGACAACCGATCGGAACATAGGTAACACGTAACACTTTAGCAGCAACCTTTTATTTAATAAAATGAATATCTATATACATATTCATATCCATATCCATATCCACATGTTATGTATAGCTAACTTTAAGTGCTCAACTAACCACCTCTAACAGCTTAACAGCTTATTAAGCACGTGCAACTAACTATTCCAATAAATGTATTGAGAGATCGTGTAGCTGTAAATGTACTTGAATTATTCAATTGAACTTGATATTTCAATTTCTTTTTTCTTTTTTAAAAAAATGTATGAATTGTAAAATAAATGCCTTAAAAAAAACTCAATTTGTACATAACAGCCTTAATCTAGGAATGTTAGGGTAAACGTTTAATGTCAAATAGCTAAGAGTTGTCTTTAAACAAATGCTATCTTGTAATTACTCTAGATTAATAAAATAAATTAGTTTAAATATTTATTAAATAATATTTTATTTAAATTTAAATATTAAAATAAATTAAAAATTAGTTTATTAATATCCTATTCAAATAATGTATGGATTATTAAAATTCTATTCATGGATAATTTAAAAATATTACTTTTAAAATAATAAGTATAATCCATACATTATTTGAATAGAATATTAATAAACTAATTTTTTAATATATTTTAATATTTAAATTTAAATAAAATATTATTTAATAAATATTTAAACTATTTTTAGTAAATATTATTTAGTAAATATTTTAAAATATTACTTTTAAAATAATAAGTATAATCCATACAATATTTGAATATAATATTAATAAACTAATTTTTCATATTTTTTTATAGTTAAATTTAAATAAAATATTATTTAGTAAATATTTAACCTAATTTTAATATTTTTAAATTAATATATTTTAATTTTTTTAAATTAATATATTTTAATATTTATATTTAAATAAAATATAATTTAGTAAATACTTAAATTAATTTTTTATTAATTTTAAGTACAAAATAATATTTATTTAAAAACAACTCCCAATCATTTGTTTAAAAAAATTAAAATTGGCCACGACCCAATATAACCTAAAATGGGTGTAAACTTAACCCATGGCATTTAATCACGTGGCATAAAATTGGATATGAAATACTTAAAAACAAATAGGGTAAATTTTATATTTAGTACCCCAATTATCATTTTTATTCTATTTTAGTCATTCTATTATTTTTAAATGATACTTAACGCTTGGTTTTGCTTTTGTTTTAGCATTCATCGTTAAAATATTGATGGTGATGTTGACATGTCATCATAAAATAATATCACGCCAATTGAAAAAAAAATAAAAATACCATGCCGATAGTTTTGTTAATATTTTAATAGTGATTGACCAAAATAAAATAAAAATATAACGTTAGGTATGATTTTGAAAAAGAAATAGTTGAGTGACTAAAACATAATTTCTTTCTAATAATCATCGGGTTTATTAATCTGAAACCAGAAACTGCATAATATAAGGAACTTCATTAATCTCAATCTCTAATCTCTTAGTCTTTCCTTTATGTTTAAATTTTACTTATTTAATATATAATTACAACTATATATGTGTGTAAATTCAAAGTTTTAATTTAATTTTAATTTTTTAAGTTGACAAATCATTATATATATCTATTCAAACCTTTTTTAATTTATTCAAAACTTCTTTAAACCATTTATATAGATTTTTTTTGAATTAATTACTGGAATCCGATCTATTGATCGACTAATCCAGATCGGGTACTGCAGAGGCGAAGGCGACCTTCCCAACCCAGTTTACTCTATTCTCAAACCCCAAGATTCGAATTTCTGACCTTACTTAAACTACCTTTGATAGATTTATTCATGTGGTTTTAAGTGTATTGATTACGATTACTTTTGTAATTGTATTATAGTTTTTTTCACGAACAGTTGTAATTAAATTTCGTTAATAATATAATAAATTAAAATTACAATGCATTAAAATATAGAATGAAAATTGAATACAAGAGTTATTAAAATATTCATATAAAAATAAAATATTAAACCTAAAGATACTAAGAAAACCAAAACATTCTATTGAAAATGATGATTAACGTCAAAACTCAATAATCTTTATAATAACTTTTTGTCTCTGTCGAATAAGATGTTTTACGAAGTGATAAAAGAGTGATGAGCGAATCAAATAATTTGACTGGCTATTTCATTACACAATTCAGATTACATCAATAAACAACTTTTTACTAAAAAATGGATCTGACTATACATGACCACCGACAAACCAATTAAAAAATAAATGTCATGATAATTTTTGTACAAGTATCAAAACGACCATAAATGTATGCAAAAAAAGTACCCAAAAAAACTATAAGAATCGTGCCACAAGAGCAGAGAAAACATGTGCCACAAGAGCAAAGAAAAAACGTATCACAAGGACAGAAATTCTTATTCAAAATTAAAAAGCTTCAAGAAAAAAAAAGATAATATAAAAAACAGAAAATCTAATAGTCATCGGTGATCGACAACCAACATTAGGATTGAGGCTGTCGTCGACTAAATGAAAATCAAAGGAAAAAAGAAAACACAAATTGAAAAAAAAAGGACCACGTAGCTTTTGAATGCATTGGTTATGATTACTCAAATCTCCCTACTTCAAAAAGAAGAATTAATTCGATTGATTCTGTTTTATCATACAACTTCTACTATAGAATAATTCGAATGGATTTGAGGAGATTAGGATATTAATCTTAGGGACTGACATAAAATTATATGGTTAAAATTAAAAAAAAAATTGTTTTCAAAAGGTTAAAATTGAATTGTTGACAATTAAGAGGACTAAAATTATTATTATCCAATTTAATCAAAGGAGAGTTAAATATAACCACCCAAATTTCAAATGAAACGATTAGAGGTTATCATAATCTAAAATGATCTGACGTGAAAAAATCGAGATTTAAACCAAACAATCTAAAACTATAATTGGTAAAATTAAAAGTTCGGTGGTATAAACTATATAATGCTTAAAGTTCAGTGGTATATGGTGTGTTTACCCTTGATTAAATCTAAAACCAACTCAACCAAGCCTTGTTGAGCTTTTCGAAGGCAATGAACGAGCACATCATTTACGGCTTTTCGTTCACAGAAACTAACCTGGGAAGGTTCTTGGGATTTTTGTTGAGACTCGAATCATTGACGACGAAGATCGAATTGAAACCTTGTAAGTGAAGCATCCAATACTTCTGAGAGAGGCCATTCATGGAAAAGGATCCATTTACTCGCAAGTTCACAAGGTGTTTTAATATCCAAGTGCTGGTTCGATATTTGCTTCAAACAAGTCGAGATCGACATCGCCATGATTTCGAGGATCGAATGTTTCAAACACCAGGAAATGAAAAACGAAAACCATGCGTGATATATTACACTAGGAAATGAAAAACGAAAACCAGAGGAAGTGCTGTAATGAAGGCATCTCTTACAGCCATCGTGCACTACATTTGGGAAACTTTTTCGCTGATTCCTAAAAGAGTTGTGTGTTGAGTTCCGCTTCTCATCGTGTCGCGCAACTCCTCGAAGCTGATTTTACCGTCCTGTAAACGAGGCATAAGCTTTTACCGTCTTCGATGAACACCGACAAGCCGAAACCCATGGCCTTCAAAAAGGCATTCTCAACCTTGCTAGACAACAAGAAATTCTCAGGCTTAAGGTCCCTATGCATCACTCCGATGAAATGACAAGCATGGACAACCTTCTACAAACAGAAGCAGCTGCCCTCTCACTGTAATGTCCCTTGGCAATGATCCTATCAAACAACTCACCACCAGCACACAATTCCATCACAAGGTGAACGGATAGCTTATCCTCGTAAGCTATTAGTTTTGTTTCATTTTAATACATAAACTTTTAACTTTTTAAAAATATACCTAATTTTTAGTTTTTGTTTCATTTTAGTACCACGTCTACACTACATTTTTTATAGTTAAATTATATTATTCATCACTCAACTTTCTCACTCCTATTTTGGTACTAAAGTTTAAAAATTTTCAATTTAACTTCTCAACTTCCAAATTTTTCCTATTTTAATTCCTCTAAGTTATTTTATGATTTAATATAATTTTAGGTGTCTAAACTATACTTCAAATTGACTTTTGATGCCTAAAGAATTTTTGTTAAAAATAGGTGTCTAATATTTTTACCATTACATTTTTAAGTGACTACCTTTAAAAAACCGTTAAGTGGCATGTGTCATGTTTATATTTTTTTATTTTTTTAAAAATAAATATTCTTTAATAAAATCTAGATGTGACATGTGTCACTTAACGTTTTTTTAACGGTGGACACCTAAAAGTGAACGAAGAAAACATTAGGCACCTATTTTTAACGAAAAATTATTTAGACATCAAAAGTCAATTTTAGATGTAATTCAGGTACCTAAAAATGTATTAAACCTTATTTTATCAATAATTTTTATGACATGATATTTTTTACTATCATTTTATTAATATATAATTAAAAATAAAAAAGTTGAAAGTTGAAACGATTAAATTAAAAATAATTGAAAGCTAAGTAATTAAATTAAAAATATTAAATTTTAGTGATCAAAATAAGACTGAAAAGATAATTGAGTAATGAATGATTTAGTTTACCAATAAAAAAATACCACATGTGTAGTAAAACAAAACAAAAATTAACCGTTAAATATAATTTTTAAAAAAATAAAAATTTAAATATTAAAATAGAACAAAATTTATAAATAAATACTAAAACAACAAAAACTTGTACTTTAATGCTAAATACTAGTTTACCCTGAAAAAATCATTTCTTTTGTCACCACCGAAAACGCTAGAAGGAAAACCAATCATAGCTATAAGATTTGCGTTGCTCAAGATTTGTCATCTTTACGAATACACGTGGGGTCAATTTGTTATCTTTGAAGTTCCCTTGTTTAAAGCTATTATTCTTGGTGCCTGCCGATTCTAGATTTGGGGGCATTAGTTCTTCCGTGATAAAATTGGGTTCTTCTGCATCTTCTTTTTTAGAACTGCGTTTCAGGTAATCTAATTCCATGAATTGGATCATTTCTTGTTTATTGGTAGCTTTTTCTTTTTCTTTTTTGTTCAAACTATTCGTTGTATATCTTAAGATATTTGCTAATTGCTTAAAGAAAAATTCATTTCAATGATATTAGTGAAAGAATTATAAGCTGAGTTTCATGCTTTGATCAATCTAGTGTTCCTTGTTTCATATTCACAAGTTGTGTATTTCTGGAATCTAAAGAACAGTTTCTTAGCTATTTCCATTACAAATTTGTATAATGGTGCAAGTTAATTTTGTGTTCTTTTGTTTGTTTGTTTAGGTTCATAATAATTTGGAAAATGGAAGGTATTGCTGTTCGAAGGGTCATTCCCTCAGACAACAGCTGCCTTTTCAATGCTGTTGGGTTAGCTCATTAAACTACTAGATCGTTAACTTTCCGTTTTAATGTTTATTGGTTTGATCGGTGTGATTATTGTTTATTTGAGATTGTTTTTCTTCGTTTCCTCGTATTTAGGTATGTTATGGACCATAACAAGACAAAAGCTCTGGAGTTGAGACAGGTTCTTATATGCTTATTCTTATGATTTTTTTTCGAAGCGCTTGGTTTAGGTCATTTTATTGTAACTGAAGACATATATTGAAACTTTGTCTGCAGTTTATGTTAGCTAATGAATTCTAGTAGCCTTCGATCTGTGGATAGAACAGTTACAGAATATGAAGCTTTATATGTTGGTATTCAAATCCATACTGTTGGGGCTTTAATGGGATATGTTCAAGATTGCCATGCTTAGCTTTGTTCCGTTTACTGTATTACTACTATAATCTCTGATGCATCTGGAATGCCAAATTAAATAGAAAGATCAACGTGTTTTAGTTTGAGGGTGGAAATCTATGAGCATACATAAAGTGTCGATATAAAGCCATTTATCCTTACCGTTTTAAGTGCCATTTCTTTTTCCTAACCTAGAGTGATTGATAACTGTTTGAAGGTTATAGCCGCAACGGTGTCAAGTGCTCCAACGAAATACTCCGAGGCGTTTCTCGGAAAGCCAAATGCAGAGTATTGTGCATGGATTCTTGATTCAGACAAGTGGGGAGGTTAGCTGACCTCCCCCTCCCTCCATGTCCATTATTCTAGTTATTATTCATTTTATCAAAATCTATTTATTACAAGGACAATCTTCACGCTGACCTCGGTATGTTATTTTCTGTGTTGAAGGTGCCATTGAGCTTTCAATATTAGCAGATTATTATGGCCGTGAAATTGCAGCGTATGATATTCAGACAACACGTTGCGATTTGTATGGTCAGGTTAGAATGCTGATCTTGTCACTCTTTTTGTCTCGAGTGGTCAATTTTTCATTATCGATGCTTACACTCCCCTTCTTTTTATTGCGGCCTTCATGACAGGAAAAGAACTACTCTGAAAGAGTTATGCTGATCTATGACGGTCTCCACTATGATGCATTGGCCGTAAGTTGTTTCGTGACTGCTTTATTACTTTTTGAGGCTGTCCATATTGTCGCCTTTTAAACTAGAGGAACAACATGAATAAGGCATTGGTGGATAATAAACTGCTATGAAGGAACCTTTGAGAGAATCTATACAAAATTATGACTTTTAATTAGGCATAGCAGATGCTGATGTGTTCTTCTTTCATAATGTTTTCATTTTCATTTATTGTTCCTCCATTCTCCTTTGTATGCTTATGTTTTTCCGGTTTTCGGGTTTTACATCAACAGATGTCTCCGTTTGAGGGTGCCCCTGAGGAGTTTGATCAGACTGTATTTGCCGTACAGAATGATAGAACCATCGGGCCAGTTGAAGGTCTTGCACTAAATCTGGTTAAGGATCAACAAAGGTAGCATTTTAAGTTTTTATTTATCAACTTTTACAAGCAATGAGCATCAGACCTTAAACTGATTATGGCTAAATTTCATGTCCTTGCTTTTTAGGAAGAGGAGCTACACCGACACCGCCAACTTCACTTTGCGTTGCGGTGTATGCCAATCGGCGTGGTTGGCCAAAAGGTCATTTGTTTTTCTTCGCCTTTCTATTAACTTGCTAGTTCGCATCCGATTTCACTTTATTTTTTAATTTCTTTTAAATACAATGCCTCTCACGTAATTCCGTGCTAATCTTTAGGAGGCCGTGGAGCATGCACAAGCAACAGGCCATGTGAACTTTCAAGAATATAGATGATAGAAACCGGAGACACCTCTCTTTTTTATACCTATTGTTCGTCGAACTTGTATCATTTGGTCGATAAATCTTCTCACCAGATTCTCTGGGAAGAAAACGGAGGTGGTTGTTGTTGCAGTTGTTTTGAGAACTGTTGTAGGATCAAAGTTGTGCGAGAATCATCACAGCAATGAAATTATCGAGTTACATCATGGAATAATAAAAGAATCATACAGTGAAATCTTCATGTTAACTTTTGTATAATTTTCTAAAGTTGCAATCTTGATCCATGCTATTGATGAACGATTCAATCTGGAAACTCGAACCCCATTTCCGAATAGAATAGGAAAGTGAAAAATGGGACATATTGCCTAGTAAAATGTTCAAACTGATCTCAGCATGATAATGAAGTGTGTTTATTAGATACTTATCATCATGTTTTTAACAACACCGTCTTCCTCGAAGACTACTGATATGAGGCGATACCGACCGAGCAAGATAAACTAGAATGAGACAATGAGACGCCTTACAATACCACTGTCTTTATTTTATCCATAAGATCTTGAAAGAGGAATATATTTATATATATTAAAGATGAAAATTACAGAGGAAAATGTTCATATCAGTCCACCATGAACCTTGTTTTCCATGATAACCTCGAGTGATACAATTCAAATGGCATGCATTGCTTTCTCTATTACATAGAGAACGACAATGTCCCCAGACAGAATTACAACTACAGATAAAAGGAGATGATCCAACTAACCTGTTTCATGAAGAAAATCATCGGGCTTAAGGATAAGGAACTTGATAACCGGAAAATTGGATATCTTTGGGATCGACAAGGTGTTCCGTATTAAGATGCTCCTTCAACTCTTGGTCGAACTAGCGGCAGAAGTTTCCTCGTGCCTGACGAATATCACTTATTCCTGGTGGGAATTTCATTGTTAAAATCACTGTCAACTTCTAAATCTTCTGTTTAAGAACATGCCGTAGTTGGACCTTTTGGCTTTCCATTCTTGCCTCCAAAAGTTTTGCTTTCAAACTATTTTTCTGCGCGCCGTTAGGCCAATGCATCCTTTCATCCTTTTGTTATGTGTGGATGACCAGAGTCGGGTGAGCTCCACTGTCCCGCTGAGGGACTCAGACCACCTTTACCCGATCCTCGATCTGGGGATACAATACCACCATTTGACTTTATTACATTTGAAAGCCTCCATTCACTCCTACTACCGAGATTATCTTATAGGTTTCCCCATTATTTGGACATGACCTCCAAAGCCTTGCTATGGATGACACCTCCAAGGATAACTTGTCAGCGGCCAACTCATTCACCAATTTTGAATTAACAATTTCAAGCCTCTGGCGTTTTTCTTTTCTTGGTTCAAGTTAGCTTTGACGTCATCGACAAAAGCACGTATTTTCTCATGTTCTCTACTCGCCATGCAGCCCTTTCCTCACTAACTTTCCTCAAGAAGTGCTCAAGTTTCTTCTTCGAGGACCAGCACTCAGTCTCGAGCTCCTCAATGTGAACTCGAGCCTGCACCAGCTCAGTTTCAAAGGCAGAAACAATTGATACAGCACCAATTTGTTGGTCAATACGCTTCATGTCGTTGTAAATTTTCCATGCCTCATCAGTTGTTTTTAAGCGGACAGGATCCCACTTTGTTGCTCCCTCCATTGCGGAGTTTAAAAATTGAATTGAAGGCTCAATCTTAAGAAAGAGAAAGGCAGGTTAAGATTAAAATAGTGAAGAAATCAATATGCTGAATATGCAGCTGTTCTTGCTTTATCATGAATAATAGCAAGCTACGAGCATGTTTGAGAATAAATTTAAAAATTATAGGCAAACAAACAGCAGCAAAGCCCTCATATTGACAAATATCCCTTTTTAGCGATTTCCCTCACTAGTTTATCCCAAGACTAGAAGTGATTATTAGCACTCATCTTTGTCTAATACTCTACTCATGAACTTCATCATTCAAATGATAGAACTAAAACCATGTTGATTCATGCATTAAATGCAAGTGGTCTGTGATTCTATTCTTTTCCCTTCTAGTTTGCCCAGACTCATTGAGAGTCTCGGACAGGCAATGAACACAAAATGTTTTAGCAGAATGATTAATCATATATCGATCGAACACACAACTTTGGTAACATTCAAAATGCCGAAAATAGAATGAAAACAACTGGCTCTTCTTCTACAAAATCACCGAAATGGAACATAATAGATCCCTTCTAAAAGAAATCACCAAATGTGGGTTCCAAACGTAGCATGGCACATGTGCCCTATTACGAATGAGATGTAGAAAGGTTTGGTTTCCTATGCGAGTTCCATTTGTCATTTATGTATCAGATCATTAAAAGTTCAAGATTCAGTTAAGTAGCTCAAGGATGCAAGCATACCTTACGCAGGAGGCCGTTCTTTGCTCCAGAGACCGAACTAGGGCTCTGTAATGGATCCTCTGAACCATGATTTTTGTCCTTGAGATGATAATGGAATGGAACACCCATGAAATCCTAACCAGACTGCAGTAAATCACAAAGTAATTAACTCCAAACGCCCAAAATCATAATCCGAATTTCGTAGCACTTGAATACAACTAATCCATCAAAGACGGAATACGGTAAAATCATAGTTTAAGTCTAAAAAATTAGCACAACTTTCAGAAGCAACTTAACCAGATAATCAAGCAAATCATAAATAACGGCAAATAACATAATCCTTTATCCGTGGGAAACCTGTAAAGCCATGCTAACAAAAGGCTCTCATGATTAGGGAAAAAACTATATCAGAGCATACAATGATGGCAAACTACAAACACGATAAATGCATCGAAAAGGGAACTTTCGGGGTGCGAAATCATACGAATCAATTACATTTAGCAAGTTTTGAAAGGTTTGCTCTTTTGTTAAACATGCGAGCAAAATCTAAGACATCATAAACATGAAAAATTCAAAAATCAAACAATGAGGGCATTATAAAGATCAGTTTTTTTTTCAGCATCAATGGTTAAAAGTTTCAAATATAAGCAAGAAATTAACACCCAAAACAATCCCTTCAAAATCACAGTTTCTGAATTTGGTCACAGGAATCTCATTATAACAAACAGTTCATAAATAGAAGGGAAATATAGAACATGAAAGCACAGATCATGGAAACAGAAACAGGTTTAAAATCCAACCTTGAGCTCTAACTGATCACTCCTCCTCACTGGAACATCGGGATCCACCGTTTCCGGCAACCGCAACCGCCAAGATCCAGCTGCAAGCTTCCTGGCGGACACTTTTGAAGCACCTTTCCTCCGACATCCCCGACTACCACCTCTCCGGCCATCATCCTCCTCCGCGAGCTCTTCCTCAGCTTCACAACCTTTCTCACTCCCTTTCCCTTTCTCCTCCACTTTCCATTTCAGCAGAGATGTCTCCGGTCTGCTCCGCCTCCCACAACCGGTGCACCGCCGATCCGTTTCCACCTCCTGTTCCACGTCTTCCGCTTGAGATCCACGTCCGTCGGAATCCTACCCGAGAATGTCGTGGGTAAACTAGCTTCCCCGTCACCTTCATCACTCTCGGACTCAAAACTCTAAACCAACAAGAAAAAAAGCACAAAATTCCTAATTTGTAAAGGAAAAAATTGCAAATTATTCGCGAAAAATCTGTTCTTCCTTGTGAACAGTGTGAAACTGAATGAAAAAAATATCAGGAAAAAAAAAAGATGAGCAAAGGCTGAGCTGAGAAAGGATTGATAGAGAGAGTGTGTTCATATGTTTCTTAACCTTAGCTTGTATAGTGGTATTTGGAAATGGAGAAAGGGACGTATCTCAGATATGTATCAAAATACGCTTTGATGTATCACCGTATTTTGTACAGTCAACGTGTAGTTTGGTAACATACGTTGTCGTTTGGCGGCATATTTAATTTACTTGATTACTGGTGCGAATCTGGGATTGCAAATTTGCAATGTGTCGTTTAAATAATTAAATATACATTTTAGTACCTAAACTCCTCTTTAATGTGCAATTTGGTACTTAAGTTTTTTTTCCAATTAAGTACCTAAATTTTGCCTCAAGATTCAGTTTGACTACCAACTATATAACAATTTGTGTTAACAATTTAATTAGGTGTGTGACATGGATCGATCCAGATTAATCAGTATAAAGTCTTTGAACAAAGAAGACAACCAAAATATATATTTATGTTAAAATAATTTTTTATTTTTCTTTGAGTTAATAATATTTTTTTAAAATATAAATAAATTTTATTTGATATATTAGTGCTAATTCTTTTAAAAACTTGATTTGTATCTTTTTAAATAAAAATTAAAGATATGTAATGATTTTTAATATTATTTGTAAAAATTAAAGATAGTGAACCTAATCGGAAGGTCCAAAAGAATATAAATAGATTAGTTAATTATGTACGAATATCACATTGATTTCAACGAAATAATAAGTACTTAGACAATATATAGTATTTAAAAAAATCCGAAACCGTTAATTATAACTATTAATCAACAGAATCGTTACATTTAACATGTTAGTTAATTGAATCGTTAATATTAAACGGTTTCAATTAATCGAATCGCTAAAAATGATAGTTAACGGTTAAAGTTACATTTACAAATTTTAATAAACGGTTAACCATTGGTTAACCATTAATAAATTAAATTTCTAATTTATTATATTTTTACAAAAATAATTCGATATAAGTTTCTATTATATATATAAAAAAAAAAAAAAAATTTGTATACAAATAACTTAATATATATTTTTTATTATTTATTTCTTTGAAAATATATAAACATACTTACACCAATATAATTATATGTTTATTGTTAAGTACTAAGATATAGAGAGATATACATACTTACACCAGTGTAAGTATGTATTAAGTGTTACACTTTTTTATTTTATTTACTTACGCAGGTGTAGTATCTGTTAAGTGCTACACTTGTTTATTTTTCACTTACACCGGTGTAAGTATATGTTAAGTGCTATATTTTTTGTAATATGAATTATGAAAAAATTGAAAAAAAAGTTGTAATAGGTTAACCGTAGGTTAACCTGTAACCGAACCGTTAATAACGGTTAACCGTTAGTGTATAACCATTTCTTAATGGCTAAGTTACGGTTAAAAAAATCTCGTAATCGTTATAACAATTAACTGACTGTTTAGGTTAAACGGTACGGTTAACAGTCCATGAACAATCTTACTAGAGAGAGTTGGCAACAAACATTTAATATATATGTATAATATTTTAAATGATATAGCTTATAAAACATAAAAATATCATAATAAGAATGATTATTTTATTTACAATTAATATTAAATTAATTAAATATAGTATAGATTGTTGGATTTAAAATCCATAATTATGGGCACATATTTATCGTGTATATTGTTACCATAAAATATGATAGAGATCAAGTGACTAATTATGTTATAAAATCATAAGGTATTAGAAGTGTCATAGAAATAAAAGAGTAGTGTCGTATATACTATTAAAGTTGTATTTATAATTTGATGAGGGACAAAGTTATAATTACTGACAATAATTGATTCTTAAATAGATATATGAAGGGGTTATGATCCCAAGAGATAGACAATCTCGTATTTACTCTTATCCCGTTAGAGAGTTTATATTTAAGGAACTCTATCTTCTTGGAATATTACAACCAAAGAATGATTCAATGATTTCAACTCATCAATTAATTCAGGTAGCTTTCGCATCTAGTATTTTTATTTTTGATAATTTGACATGATTATATTCTGATTGTTTATAAATATGGTTTGGTTCTAACGAAACATTGGATCTAATCATATTTATAAACAACCAGGATCTAATCATGTCAAATCATAAAGAATAAAAATATTAGATACAAAAGCGCATCTAAATTAATTGATAGGTTGAGATCCTTGAATCTTTCTTTGGTATATAGAGTTTCAAGCATAAACTCTTTGACGGGATAAGAGTAAATACGAGATTATCTATTTTTTTGGGAACGTAACCCCTTTATATAGCTGATTTAAAAATCAGTTATTGTCTATACTTATAACTCTGCCCCTTATCGAATTATAAATTCAATTTTAATAGTATCAACATTTTATTTCCATTACACTTCTAATACCTTATGACTTTATAATATAATTAATTGATCACTTGATTTATATCATATTTTATGATAACAATACATTATAATATGTGCCCATGGATTTTAATCCAACATAGATAAGTAAAATAAATTTAAATAGTATAATATAGTATATTTATATGTGTATCATACTCGAATACATGTGCTTATAGATCTAAGAGTAAAGTACAAATTTGATAATTGAATTTTATTATCTCTCCTGTTTCACTTACTATACTTTTAATTATTTTTAATTTAATCACTGAATTGAAGACATGAATAAAATTGAATAAAAATATGGCCTTAAGTCCTATTATTATAAATATATATTATTTAAATATTCTACACTCTTAGTACATTTAATATAATATTTTTAGAGTATTTAAGATTGATTTATTTCGAAATTATATCTAGGCAAATTAAAAAAAAAAGATCAAAAATATAATATCGAACATATTGTAGATATCGTCGATTAAATAAGTAAAACTAAAAATCAATAATCTGTTAAAATTAATTTTATTAAACCTATTGATAAGTAAATGGTCACATTGAATCCGATCTTTATAATTACAACTTAAATTTAAGACATGAATGTGCAGTTGTTATACTCTTAACGACCATTGAAGGGTTGTTATTGTCTGTGGTCAACGAAATTCATCGATTGAGTTATAATTATAAGAATTATTTTAATTATGAGCCCATTTCGACTTTACATCTTAAAAGGTCTGGAAATCTAAACTTTAATCCACTTTGTTTTACAAGTACCAAGTTTTATGTGATTGTTGGTCCATTTAATGCCAAGATTCACATGTGATGCTTGGTATTACCACTGTGTCAAATTTAATTTCTAACCATATATACCACTTTCATAGTTAGACTGATTTATTGATCGATTAATTCAGATCGGGTACTGTAGAGGTGATGACAACTCTCCCAAGTCGTCCCAATCTTTTAATGACTACAAATGAATATTATTGATGGAATGGACTGAGTTATTAAATTTTGTTCTCTAAGATTTCATTTGACCTAATTATCGAGTTTGAGAAAATATTTTTATCATTTTTGAAAATGATTGAAACATAAATAAATCCATATATTAATAAATTTTATTAATGACTGATGATAAATAAGAAATAAAATTAATGTGAAAATGATTTGTTAGTATCCGAGTCCATGAATTAATTGTAACGGGCTAAGAGCAAATAAATGCAGCAGTGTAGGCCAAGAATGAACAGGGTCCATGAGTAGTTGCCCGATTGATATGTTTGGGTTTGGCTTGCATGTTATGTTAGTCCAATGAATGTGAAAGTGTGGGACTGTTACAAAGAGAAATCATAGTTTCCAATCATCATCAACTATTACTAAATAAACTTTATATTTATACATTCATATATAAAGACTCTTTGGATTAAATTGGATTAAAACATTGATTTAAACAACGAAGTGAATGAATTCATCAAACAACTTTAGTTGTAAAATAAAGTGTTGTTATTTCTAGAGGATTCGGATTTGAGTTATTTTACATGTAAAGTATGTGTTTATATATTAAAAAATTATAGACTCCCCCTGAGTGGTGGCCAGTACCCAGTAATGCCAAGTTACTTCAGAAGGAGTATTTGTCGGCCAGGAAGCAAGCAGTAGGACGAGTACCATCATAAAGGCCACCCTGCTTCGAGCATTGACAAGGACTGTTGGCATCCGCCTATTCCATGTTTTGTTAAAATTAGCATAGACACACCTTTGATCCTCTCAGGCGTATAGCAGCTATAGGCGTTGCTGCAAGAGATTCCTATGGCCAGGTTCTAGGTGGATTAGTGTTATCCTCTTCGGGGTGTTCTGAAGTCGACCTTGCGAAAATTAGTACTTTTAAAGCTGGCTTGTCTTTGGCTTAAGATAACCTCTGGACACATGTAGTGTTTGAATCTAATTCCATGATCGTTGTTAACAAGATGAATCGGCAGGAGGAGGACATTTCCACCCTAGGTTTTTAGGTTCAGGAAGCTTGTGGTATGTTGAATGTAAATGCGAATTCTATAGTGCAATTTGCTCCTAGAACTTGTAATAAAGTAGCCCACAAGTTAAGTCATTCGGGGTCTTCATTTTGGGAATACTTTATATTTTGACTCGGTCTGTCCCGAGTTTGTTGCATCGAATGTATCAAATGATTTACTTTATGATAATATAATTCCTTAGGGCACTTTTTTCTTATTAGACTTATAAGGAATTTTTAACGAGGCTCACGTTCCTTAAAAAAAAGTAAAAAATTATAGGTTAAGATTTAATTTGTTTTTTCTATTTGAAATATAACAAGTAGATTTTCTCGTTGAATGTTCTAGATTTAGGTTTAGGTGAAATCTGTTCAGATTTGATATATTTGTTAAAAATATTAATCTTTTAATTTTATAATTTAAACTATAACCTTTTTTTTTATTTTATAACACATTTATTCTTCCTAATATTTGGTCATAACTCCATTTTTAAGAGTTGACTCCCACCATTGTTGCTTTTAACAGCACTAAGCGAAGTTAATTGACTCCCATTTTCCACCGCCGCAATTCTAGACTCGTTATCGTGCATGAAAATTATCACAGCCATGCAAAATAGGCGCCAATTGTGAAGAACTAGGGTTTGTTAAATTTACCCATCTTTGTGAAACACGACGACAGCGTATAGGTTTGGATTGTGAAGGCACCTTTGTGTCCCCCCCCCCCCCCCCCGCCTCTTAAATTGAGAAATGATAAAACATATAGATAATTATTATTTGCTATATTAATAGTGAAAATAATGATTTCACATACTATATTATGATGATAAATATTTTAAGTTATTAACTTTTTTCTCCGACATCTTCTTCGATCAGTTAAGGTATCAATGAACTCATCTCATTGTCTTCTACCACTTTATCAATTTAGATTTACCTAAATCAGTTTAAAGCTCATGAAAATTAAACCACAAATCACTCTAATCTATAATATCCAAACCACTCAACATGGGATCGAGATATGCTCATGATTCATCCTTCATCTCCCTACCGTGGAATTTGGAAGAAGATACTTCATCATTGGCAAATCAAATGAAATTCAAAACTCCGGATCTTCCACACACAAAAAAGAAGAAAATTTTGGGACTATTTCATAATTTATATATCTACGTCCCATATTCAATGGTAAATTAACCAAAACAAAGATGAATCAAGTTGATATATATCTTTAATTAGGGGTAAATGTATAATTTTATATTAGAGTACGACTTTTAAAAATTATATAAATATAAAAATATTATCATTAAAAATATAAAAAGAATTAAAACTAAATACGATGAAACTATCAATTACCAATAACGCTTTGAATGGGTTATTAATTAAAATAAAACAACTTCGAATGATATTTACTTAATCTAATTGACAAATTCATTATATTTAGATGCATTTGAAGGGAGTTGAAGTTAATTAAATTCAATATAAAATCTTTTAATTGCCGATTCAAAATTGGGGTTTTAATTAAAATAATAATTATGATATATTTTTATATTCATGCAAGACATGTTAAACAAATTTTAGAGAAAGTGGGTCCTTAATCTTTTAAATATTCTTAAAGGGAAACTTATTTTAGTTTTCATTTATAAGTCCACTAAATGGATAAGGTTAATTTTTGGTCAATTGTCGGGGAAAATTGCCCAAAAATAGTTGAGATAATACCATTAATAAATTATATTTATTATGTTTAAGAATTCAATATTTGGGTCTACAAAATAAAAATAATAAATAAATAAATAAAAATAATTGGGTTAATGGTACCTTTGGTTAGATTCCATACACAATCTGTGTTCACACGTGAAGATTCCACCCCTAACCGCGTTCACATTAGCTTGGGTTTCGTCCACCTAATGCTTAGCCTTTCCAAGATTATTATGGCTCGGCTTGGCTTATCCCTTTCTAATATTTCTATTTATTTTATTTCAATAAAATCATTTTTAAAATTTATATTTATCAAATGATTTATTATATTTAGTATTGAATTTTAAGTAAAGAACCAAATATATTTATAATTAAATTCAATACCTATTTTTAGTATTAATATTTTAGCATTTAACTTTTTAGTTGATCAAACATACTTTGTGTCTTATTTTTTTTTATTTTGATCTTCCCTAAGGATGGTCATTTGACCCTATTATAATAGGTTAAATCGAGTTGAATTTGAGTTTACGATAAAAATACTTAATCTGACACAATATGAAAATAATAATATATCATTCTTTATAAATATATATATAAAGGCGATTATTATAATATAATTCTTTCTATATTTTTTAATTAAATCCTTATATTATTTAACAAAAATAAAGATTATATATACATATTTGTGCCAGACCGTGATTGGTTTTTATTCTAAAAATTAGATCAGGTGTCAAATTGATTAATTTTTTACACTCAAATCAAATCGAATGACGAATAAAGAGGTGTCATACTCAGATTAGATTCAGATATGTCAAAAACCTAACCCAATTCGATTAATGATCATCTTAATTTTACCACTAATTATTATGTTTAAAACCAAACACATTTTACCATTGATTTAAATCTCACCGTTATAGTAGCAGTCAATCTCATTATCTTTAATTTTTATTTATTTATTAAGTTAATACGATTACAAAGTAGTATCTGTTTTAAATACAATCTTAATCATTTGACAATGAATGTTCAATCACTCTGTTGCAACCGCTGGTGCTCGAACTCGTGACCTTTAGGTAGAGGCGGAGCTCTCTTGGGGCACAAAGGTGCCCTGATCCTGTACAAAAAATTATGTTCGATATATTTTTATCTAATAGTATTTTAGTTCATGTAAAAATAAATATTTAAATATATAAGAATTTATTAAATATTTAATCAAGTAGGGCCAGAACTAAAGAATGATAATCCAATGTTCTTAATTTTTTTGGTCTAATAACAATTTATGTCATTATAAGTTTAAATATTAGACAAATTAGACATTGCCTTCTGAATTTTATGTTTAATAACCTGATATGTCATTGTATTTTTCTTTAAAAAGTTTAAATATTTCGGCCCGTGAAAATATCTAATCCTGGCTTCGTCTTCACCTCTAGGAACAACAACGATTCCTTTAACCACTTAGATAAGTTAGTAACTATGATTATATAATAATTCTCCTCAAATCTTAAAGAAAGAATCATTTAATGAATGGAATAAAAAACCCTTATTAGGAAGCTCTTTGAACAAAATGAAGCCGAGCCTTAGGTAAGCCAACTTAACCGATCGACATCGCTGAACCTCTCTAATTAATCAGATGAATATTATTTTTAAAATTTTAATTTCATTTTTTTAGCATAATCACATCAATTTCAGTTTAGAAGATGAAACCAACCCAAAATAGTTGGTGATGATCTGATCAACCAAGTTATCACTAGCCACGTCATACGACACGTCATCCAACGTGGCATGATTTTAGTTGGGTTTGACTCTTTCGCCCTTAATCCCTTTCTTATATATAACCCCTTGCTCATCACCATTCGACTCCCCCACCCTCTACGTTCATAAATTTAATTAACCGAAAAAACAAACAAAGAATGGGAAATTGTTTACGTCATCAATCATCAACGCAATGGGGCGGCGAAGATTGGGCCGCATTGATTCCGGCGGCCGCGAACGACGACGACGACGACAGCGGCGGCGACAATATAGAAGAGAAGGGTCTGCTCCAATTCCGAAACCGTGGAAGAATTGGTTCCACGACGTCGTCTTCTGCAACTCATGAAGTGAAAGTGAAGATAACGAGGAAGCAGCTGGTGGAGTTATTGGGTAGGGTCGATTTAAAAGAGTTATCAGTGCAACAGGTTTTGGCACAGTTGATCAATGTTAGTCATCAATATGATCAAGCAGATCAACGGTCCTGGAGGCCTGCACTGCAAAGCATTCCTGAGGTGAATTGAGCTGATGATCATGCAAAAGAATTGGAATAATTTCTTTTCTTCTATCTGTTTCCTTTCTTAAAGAGGTTTTCTTGTATGCTGTGTATATTTTCATTCATTGATCAACTTTCTTGGGAAAGTGACAGAAAATGAAGAGAAGAAAATTAAGTTTTTTTCTTCTTTTTAGAAATTTTTATAATCAGTTTGTGTACAGAAAGAACATTGGGGTATTGTACTATTGTTGTACAGAGTTTTAAAGACTTCATTTTTTTTTACCATAATTCTATGTTTTATTTTTGTTCTTTATTTTAAAATTGTAGATATAATATTTTAATAATAATATTGACATAAATAATATTAGATAAATTATTTTAATATTTGAAAAATAATAATATTATTTTTACATTTGATGTTTATAAATTTATCAACCAATGAAAAATAAATTACATAACATCATTTAAACACTGTAAAATAATTTCTAGAAAATGTATTTCATTTTACAAAATCCATTTTTCAAAATCTATATTTCGTGAAACAAACGGACATTTAGTTTAGAATTGATTTAGTCCTCATATTCTAATTTGAGCATTCTTAGCCTTAAAACTTTTCAAATTTTAGTGTTGCACTAAAGATTAATATGTAAAGTCGAATTCTACAATTAAATTTAATATTGTATATAAATTATATATTTGATTTTTCTGCTCCAATTAAATCATTTTAATTTTTTGTAATCTAGTTATATTATTCTTGTATTGTTTGAGTCATAATTGAAATTTTAAAATTCAAAAGGATTATAAACAAAAAATCAATCAAAATAAAAGATCCGATGTACAATTTATACAAAATATATGGACTATTAACAAAACCTGACCCAAATATACTGACGATTTAGTCATAATAATTAAATAATTTTGATACAAATAATGAAATTGGGAAGGACTTACTAATTATTTATATTTTATTTTTAACAAATAATAATTTATTGAAAGCTGAGCCATGTAATTTGCCTACTAAACTATATAGGAAATTACAAGGGGCAGTATATGTGGTTGATCAAGTTTGCCTTTCAAACATTTCCCAGTCATTCAACCACCAAAGATTGTGACCAAGGCATCTAAAAATAAATAAATGATAATATATGGTTTGAACAAATCAAAATCCAAAACAATCATTAGATTAACAAAATATTAGATAATTTTATTATTATTAGATAATATTTTTATATTTGATTTAGAATGATTCACATTTTTTTATTAATCTGAGACAAGTATAAGACAATATATGTTTAAAGGAAACTACCTTTTGGTATTGAAAACATCCCTGAATCTATGGTACTCGAACTCGGGTTCTCAAGGAACAACAACAATTCCTTTACCAGGAAGTCACTTGGTTCGTGCTAGAATGATCACATTAGGGATAAAAGATTGACCTCTTTTTTAACAAAAGTCTCAAATTTTATTTCCAATAAAAATGATTATTTTAAAAGAAGTTGATCTTTTTAGGCAAATTCTTTAAACTATCTTAAAACGAATCAACCCCTTTTAAAATGGAATCAATCATTATACACTAAGTCTAAGGTTTGGAAGAATGAACAACCCTTGTATGAAGATGAAACACAATGCTGAATGCTCTCCAAAAATCAAAACTATCGTCTTAAAACAGACAGAAATAAAAGGGTAATACTAATGAAGTAACAAACTTTTATGGAAGCTTTGCACTAAATATACCTTTAGATCCCGGAACTTGTATCGGATGATTAACAGGGAAACGAGGCTGTAGAAATGGAATGTGGCTTGGCACCGCCAATGGTTGCTGTCCGCCGGCTATGAAAGGTTGAGGTACACAAAGCTGAAATGCTTGGCCTGCACAATCACAAAGGGCTTGAGAACAAATCGGCATTGCACTATACAAGATTTGGGTTATGGTAACGTCTGCAATCTACAAGGATCGTGCTGTTTTATTTTCTATTCAACAAGGGTAATGGGATATTATACTTGCAAATACCTTGGTGTTTCGGAAATTGGACATGGTACGCGGTCAGAGGACGGGCCGGTTCTGGAGAGAGAGTTGCCGCACCCTGAACCAAATCATTCGTATGAAACAAAATGCGATTTAGTGATATGAAGAAATAAACTAATGATAACAAGGACATATCATTCGTTTACAGGTATCAAATCTTACATGAGAAACAGGCACACAAATGAGCTGTCCCAGTCGTCCATAAATGACCTAGATAGAGAATGAAAGGCCCGGATGGAGAGAGATTAGTAAATCATTAGAAACAACTTCATCAGCAACAGGGGAAGAAAAAAAGGTTCCTTCTTTTGCTTACTTCTTGCGGATTTGGATTCAAGTATGCTGGTGTAGCCTGAACAGGATGATATTGACCACCATATCTTAGTTGCTGAGTTCTACCCCCGTATGCCCAACAATCTAGAGCAGAAAAAAAAGACATTAGTAAATAATTTCAACTACAAATGCTTGATAAATATACTAAAATTCTCAGATTCCTTGGAAAGAGTTACATCAAAACCTTTTGTCATGCTGCGAAATCAGGCAGCAATTCATAAAAGGAACTGGCTTATGGTTTAAAGTTTAAACATAATTCTGATGTATTAGGTTTCAAGTGAAGCCAACTAGAACTTCAAGTCCTTTGAGGAAGAATTTTGAAGGCTAAAGTGAGAAATATAAAAAGAGAATGGAAATGATGGAAAATGGAGAGGGAGTAAGTGGGGCGAATGTGGTCCTACAGGAAATCTAGCATAGCTATCATGGAAACTAAAAAAGTTAACATTAAGATTAACCAACTAAAAGGGCCTCCAGAAAACTTACATGTTGAGAAAATTGAGTAACACCGACACCAGTTGCAGGTGTTATATTACCATAGGAGACAAACTTAGAAGGAGCAGGGGAATGAGCTGCAAAAGTGCCCATCCCAACCTTGCTGCGAACCAGCAACAGCTATCATAGGAGAGTTGCCTGGCATGTAACACATTTGCTACGGTTGGTACCATAGGAGAAGCCACTGATATGGCAGTTGCAAAGATGGAGAGAAAACTTTGCTCCTGGATTAAGCTTAAATTCCTGATTAAAACACAAATTGAAGTAAGAAACCATCAACATAGACACATGTGGTTATGACAGCCATTTAAAAACTTGTATCACTAGTGACAAAGACATTAAACAAAAATGTATGGGGCTGGCATCTTGAGTGCATAATATTGAGGCATCAGTAACCTCATTACTAATGTCTAATTATGTAAGTGTTAAAACTTTTATATGTTAAGAGAAAGGGATCCACCAATAATACTGTCTACTTGATATTACAAGGAAAATCTATATGGTTGTTTACCTTGGAGTTTTTATTGATTCTGAACTTTGTGGAGGGTGTATGGGAGTTGAAGCAGAAAATGAACCCTGGCAGATTCTAGGGAAACATCTGCAGCTGGAGTAGAAGTTGAAATACCAGAACAAACAGGATATTGGGGAATGTCTGTAGCAATGGGAGTTGGAGCGGCAAATGAACTGTGGCATGATTCTAGGGAAACCCGTAACTGGACTAAAAGTTGAAACACCAGAACAAACTGGATCTTCGTGAATGTGTGTAGCAGTGCGCCTTTCACAGCATTCATTTTCAAGTTTATCATCTACTGAAACATCTCAGATGTTCCAGTCTGTAAAAGCTTACTGTCATCCCGGTTTTCCCCTTAACAGGTTTACTGGAGTAAGGAATGCATCCACCCAACATGTAACAGTAAATTAGATTAATGATGATTGGCGAGACACATACTCAAGCTCGCAGCAAATTTCATCATATTACATGATAAAAACTACAATGTAATATACCAAGAAAATATCGATAACATTCCATCATTTGGCAGTAAGACCACCTTCTAAGTTTTTCTCATCATATATAAGAATATTAATTATCCAAATCCAGCAAGCCACACTTTCATACATCCTATGTTCATGATTATGCAATTAAAAGGACCAAAAATGCAAACTTACTTAACCAGTTTCTGACTTAAAGCTAACATAACAAGGCTGAAACCTCAGTGTGCACCAAGGAGACCAATATGCAGCTCTTGACCATTAAACTTTAGTTGCCAAGTCAAGATATTAAAATAAAATGAAACGTTCAGAGGTACAATAAGACAAGCCAGTTTATTTTTCATTTAGTGGAGATTCGGTTAGGTTAAAACCTGGCTTAAAAGTGTCAACAGCAGAGGACTCGTAGCTTGAAACTGAGTGCCATGTCCTGCAGAAACGATTTCATTAATAGGTTGAATATTAATATTAGTACTAGGTTTACGGCAAGAAAACAAATAAGCTTGCCATGACTTACATTCTCCTCCACTTGAACCTCAAACCTTTGGTCGTAGTCATCCTGCAAAAGCAGCAACCTATCAGCTCCTACCTGTCTGTTAGGAAAAAAATGATAAGAAATTGAGAACAAAAGGAAAATGTTTGCTGTACATATGAAAACATTAAAACAACCTATACATGAAAAAATGCTTCGCACATCTGGATGGAATCGGAATGTATATGACTGACAAGGTGTCTACATCCTATAGAAGAATGAGGTAAGGTGTTCAAAACATGTTCATATGAGTATGATCTTCATGAAGCATTCTATATCATGGATACCAAGTCACTTTAGAACCTTTAACCTGATGTAAGAGATGATAATGTAATTTTATATGCCCTTGTTTCAAAGCATTATGAAGAGAAGAGTAAGACAAATTGGAATGGAAACACTTTTTCTACTTTTGTGGAATCTTATGAGTAAAAGACGAGAGAATCAAGTCCAAACTAGGTCAGACCAACTCCAGCACTTGGACTTAGCTTAATCTTTTTTCTTTTTTCTCCTTTGTGTATGTGTGCATGTTCATGTCTATACATAGATCTCTCAACCAGAAAAGTTTTCTGCTAATAACATGATTTGGAACTTAGTATGGAACTTAAGCAACAAGTATACAACTTAAAGAAAAATCGGTTTTCTACCTCCCAGCAATAGTGGCACCAGAAGCATCTTCACCCTGCATGGAGACACAAGTGAAGATTTTTTAGAGAGATAAAGATGAAAGATTCAACAAAGCTCTCAGGCCAATATTTTCCTACAGAATATATGCTATTTATCAAACAAATTCCTTTACAGTTTCCATGGAGAAAAACCTGCCAACCAGATGACCCAAGCAATATGATTGGATCTTACACATGAACTTCAAAACCTTTCAGGAATAATGGAATCCAGTCAAAACTAATGGGCAACAAGAAGGCCTTTACTAACTATATTTTACAATCAAAAGATAAAAAAGACTCGCTATTATTATTTGACATCTGCTTCACATTTTCCCACAAAAAAATAAAACACCTAACTAAAAGATAGTTTACCTTTTCAATGTTTGTCCCATCTCTTTTCTGATATGAAACTTCCTTTGTATTTCCCATAGACTTGCAACAACATTCGACTCTCATGTTCCTTCCCAGCTTTGTGGGTATAAAGCCATCAGCAAATCCACTCTCATTTTGGACAGAATTACTGCTTTTATAGGTAAAATAAAATGAATTAGCCAAAAGGTAATAAGAATAAAATGAAAATCTATCCATTCAATTAACACAATTTTCTATTAGCTACCTTTTCTTATTACTTTTCCTTTTATCCATGGTAGACTTATTGAACTTCCTGGTCTCATACTGTGGATTGGCAGAAGGGAGAATTTCAAATGCAGCTTCTCCATTAGCATGAGCTGTATTTCCAGCGAAACCATCAAAAGGAAGAGGGACTCCCTACATGCAAACAAATTCATGTCATACAGATTGCTCAATGTTACATCAGAGCTGAATAAAATCTCAGAGGCTCGAGAAAAGACTATAAGAACAATTATACACCTTAGCAACACTTGAACAAGATCACCAGCGAGATTACAGAGTCTCTACCACACTGCCATTGGAACATTGGTGGCACATCTCCCTTTTTAGTCAATTTTGCTTTCTTCAAAACAATACCTAATAAAAGAAAAACTAATTAAATAATCATCCTAAGCATTCAACAGAGGAATTAGATATACAAAGTGTCAATAAACAGCAATGATTAGTCTTGACAACAAGCACATCTCCCCAAAAAAGAAAAGACTCAAGTACTTCATTTGGCTGATCGGTTTTAAGTAAGCCATTTTCCATATTAGACGTGTTTACTCCAATCCTTGATTGTGCTCATTTCTTCTTTTTATTTCCTTAAAAGACTAATAAACAAAAAAGCAAATGACTTGAATGTAAGAGAAATCAAACTGTCCGATAAAGCGAAAACCAAGTAAGAAAATATTATAGCCTTGGATTCAAATGTCTCCTTCAATCTGATTCCTAATTCCATGCTTATTTAAATTTGCAAACTTAATCGAAAACGATAAGAACAGCAGATAAAACCATTTAAAAGGTAATGTAACCAACCAACAGACAGAAAAGAATAAACCAGCACAAATCAAACATATACCAATCCGATCTCATCCAATTTACAAACAAGATCCAATAATTCAATAGAAAAAACCAAAAACCCAGATGCAAATTTCAATATAAAAATCAAAACCCAAAATCTGGCTTCCAACAGAAATCCAGAAAATGAAGAGGCAAAATGCACCATATTCCTTCTCAACCGAACCAGTGTGGAAGGTTCCAGAGATAATAGAGCCATCTTTCAGATGCACGTCCACTGGCAGACCAATGATGCACATGGTAGCAAGCAGCAGAGCTTCGTTCATTGAATAGTTATCTTCTTCTACTCTGTTTTTGAGTCCCATCTCTGCTTCCCCCTCTTCGAAGCTCTGTTCTTTGAGTTGATTCAATCAGGAGTTTTACAATTTATATGTACGTATATATATTGTTTTCTTTTGTAGCTGTATGTATAGGAAAGAGATGAGGGCAACAGTGGGTTGATTGAAATTGAATAGATCGAATCGGAAAAGAAAATGGAACACAATCCAATTTCCTTTCTTTATCTTTTTCACTATAAATCCTACCATCCTCAATTCTCACTTTCACTATAAATCAATCATTAATTTTAAATGTTTAATAAAATTAAATGTTTATAAACATTTAAGATCAAATTGATAGAATATATAAACACTAAGGACTAAATATATAATTATGTCATTTTCTTTAATGTCCACGTCAACCTTAGGAGCTTGATTGAACACCTTTAAATAGTTGAGTAGTCTAATTGATAAAATTAAAAGATCGATGAAAACAGTAAAAGAACTACATAATTAAGTGTTCAATGGTATAATTTACCCATTTTTTATTAATAAAAGTGTTCACTTTTAAACGCATAATTTTCATAGACGTCTACAATCTCTCTGAATAAAATTAATCAATCATTTTCACTATAATCCTACCATCCTCGATTCTCACTTTCTATAATGACAATCCTACCATCCTCAATTCTCACTTTCTATAATAACATTTCATTAAATTTTTATTAATATAATCACTTATATTAATAATGATTATTAATAATATTTTTTAAAAACTTTCAACCATTTGATGATAACATTCAAACATCCTACAATCGTTCAATAACTATAACCATTTTAATACGTGATTTAATTCATATCGATTGATACCAATTTGTACCAACAACATAACCAACTCATATAGACCGGTATTAGAGAGCTTCAATTTAATTTTTTTATAAATGTTTTTATAATTCCAAATAAAATAAAATCGTCATTTAAAAGACTATTGAACTTCATAAAACGATACATCTTCCGATACCATACCGACTAGGTAAAGGAAATCCACAGATAATTAAGCATAATAATAAGTTAATAACCATTATTTAAAAAAGCATCAATCTGGGGGAAACTACTACAGTATATAAGAGTATAGAGTTGCAATAGATTTAAAAAGAAGATGGGGCAGAAGAAAAGAAGCTGGGAAAGGTGAAGCCATAGAGAAGGAAGATGAAGAAAACATGAACCTCTCCAGAAACCGAAACCCACAAATTGTACAGCAATCAATGAAACATGTCATGGATCAAGCCAACACCTAAGGTGCCCTGGATCAGGGATTACGAGTTTCGAGCTGCGGTACAGCAACCTCATCTTACTGCAAAATACGAAAGAAAAAAAAAGGAAACATTAAGCACGAATGTATATAACGTCAAAGGCAATGGTGCAGCGCTAGAAGTAACAGAGTTAAAGATTAAATACAGCATGCTTGCGATTCTTTTACCTGTGGTCGTTGTTGGTAAGCCCCCGACTGCTGGTAATTGCCATATCCGGGATAGCCGCCATAGTACATGTTAGGGTCTTGGGGAGGAGGTGCGTATCCATATGCTTCATATCCTTGAGGATATCCATAGTATCCACTGCTCCATTGGGACTGGTCAGGTTGAGCCTGAAACTCCAATCCATTCCGTCTTTAATTTACAGAAATATATGTAGCATGGCTCTATATACAGAAAACTATGGTTTTAAAAACATCACCTGTTTGCTCAAAGGACTACGTCCCCATGAAAGCCTAACATTTCTTCCTCCTAAAACAGTACCATTCAAAACGGATAAAGCTTGTTCGGCGCTAGTCCTGCAGTGCATCATATTGCAGAATGCATTAATACCATTCAATAATATTTCACCTAACAAAAGAACATGAAATTGTTTCAGTTTACCTGTTAGCATACTGAACAAAACCACAATGCTTGTTAGCAGGAATTTTACATGAACTACCTCACCAAGCTGGCTAAATATCTGTTTTAGTTCATCTTCAGAAACACTGGGATCCAAGCCACCAACAAATATCTGCATTTGAGTTCATAAGAGTTTAGTTGGCATACCATGAAATTAAATATTATTAATATAAAAGAGAAAGCTACCCACTGTGGTATTATTCGGATCACCCTCGCCAGGATTTCCTTGAGTATTCTGGTAAGCAGCTGCAAATTACAAATACATGTAAACTATTATAGAATAGATGATAATAAGATATCAAAACGGGAAAAGTCACGCATGTGCTATCCCTGATGTTAAGGTTCTCATATTGTCACAAAAATTTGAAACTAATACAATACTCTTCCACAAGTAAATATTTGGATGTTAACAATGAAAGCTACAGTAAATTTCCAATTCTAGCATTCTCACTTCTCTAAACTGAAATTGGACTGTTCAAATAACAAAGCAGTACGATCACACACACACAAAGATAAACAAACGTTTTTAAAATAAGCAGGTAAAAATAGTTCCCTCCATGGCATGGAAAGAATAAAAGTGTACAATTGCCAGCTATATATCACTGAAACATCGGCAACCATAAAAATCTTTTGGGTTAAATCAAATCTTGCCTCTGCCAGGAGAAGTCAACAGCAACAGATTGAATCAATTTCAGTAGTAGCTGAAAAACAAAATCACTGATCACACTAAACTCACAGAATCAGTAAGGTTTCTCTTATAACACTAAGACTTAAACAGGGTGAAAAGGGTGAAGAGAAAATTTGAAAGAGACTCATCTTTTTGTCCTCACTTGGCATGAAGTCTTTCCTCTTTTTTCCTTCCACAAATTTTTTGGAAGGCAGAGTGGACAGAGTGAGTTGCTGGTGCTTAAATTGAATGATTCACAAGTACAACTTCAAACTTCATCATACAAGCAGAGAAGAACTGCCTGCTAAACTAATTTTGATTTTTTAGTGATACAATAAATTCTCAGCATGCACACAAGACAAAGAAAGAACATATTTTTTTTGGAAAACTAAGGAAGTTCTTTTTATCTTGAGGTGGCTTACAACCTCAAATGAATAGTGGAATAGTGGAAAAGAAAATGTCTTCAAAATGCAAGATAAATAAGGATATATCCATCTGCAGCCGGGCATCCGTTATTTTAGCTAAAGCAATAAATAATGGCAAGTGACCCACTTCCATAGAGGTTAAACTTAAATTCTTCAACTGGCAATGCTTTTAACTACAAGTTCCAGGTTCTGTTCCAGCCTCAGTTTGTCCTCATGTGCAACGGAGCATATAATGAAGACTAAGCAGATACCATATTTTAAAAAGAAGCACAGATTTCAAATGTGAGAGAACAAAACTAGCACCAAGGTTCAGTAACAGATTGGTGTTATAGAACATGAATAGCAATTTAACCATAGCTGCTGCATCTACTTTTGATTATTAAAGCTTGAATCTAAAGGACAAAAAAAGGGAGTGTGTAAATGTATGCAAGTACTCAAAGGGAACTGATCCAGTACGAATAAAAACAAAATTCTGGACTTGTAAAGTAAAGTAAATAAAGATTTAAAGGCATGTTGGAAAAATGGTGCAAAATGGAATCGATTGGAATACTTAATACGGAACTGGAAAAGAAATTTGCTAACGTAGCACAAATATTGCCACGAGAAAATGAAGCTTCCGACATAAACAAAGTAACTGACCTAAAATGAGGCCACGGATTAAAGTGGAATCATTTCAGCTGATATCAATTTCAGGCCCCCCAAAATGAGAGCCTCTTGATGTCCTGCTTTAAGAAAACATGAGTTTTATATAAGTTTTAGCATGTTTTAACTTTTAATATAATTAAAAGTGACAACTTTACAAAGGCAAACGGGAAGGAACTGGCTTTGTATAAATTACACCAATCTTCAGGTTGTAACTGAGAGAACTTGAATTTTAAGAAGACTGCAACAGATCCACCATAGAAAATTAAAACCAATAAAGAAAAACACAATAACCAACCAACACTCAACTTGTCAAGTCAAAGTACTTGGACATAAATCATGAAAAATAAATACCATAGACAACCAAGCAAACTTCATATGGCAATCATGATAAACTATAACTTAACATTAATCACAAGAGTCTACCTTTTGGATAGTGCTGATCAGTCCCAAGCTTTTTACTAGCAGCTGGTCCAATCCGCATCGCCCTAGTGGAACAATACATCCCATTCATTTCAGTCATGGCACGAATCTGCTCACTTTCATCACCAAACTTCACAAAGCCATAACCTTTAGACCTGCCCGTGGTCCTATCAGTAACCACTTTGGCACCCTTAACAGATGGGTAAACAGCTTTAAAAGTCTCTTGTAACATGTAATCAGAAACATCTGCAGCTAAATCTCCGACAAAGATTGTGTATTCAGGACCCTCTTCTTGCCTCTTTTCTCCATATCCGAGCGAAGCCCAATTCATCCTAAAACTCTGCTCAGCACTCGGCATTGGTAGCCCGTTATACGACTGCAAAACCCTCTCAGCTGCTGCTCGTGAAACGAACTCTATAAACCCGTATCCCTCTGGAAGACCCGTTTGCTTATTCCTAATCACCTTAGCTGAAACCACCTAAAATAAACCAAAATATTAAGCTTTGTTTAATTGCATTTACGCCTTATCTTATGTTATGCTTTGTGTAATTAGATTAAATACAGAAAGGATTAATCATTAAAAATGATATCAACTCTGACAGTAATATTACTAGATTACAATACATTCCCCCTTTTAATTATGATTCTCTACATAAAAATAAATAAACAAATTATTATAATATAATTACCTCTCCAGTTTGAGCAAAGATACTGAGGATGTAATTCTCATCCATCCACGGCTGAAGATCACCGATCCAGAGAGACCGAATTTCGCCGGAGCCAGTGGCCGCGGAATCGGAGTACTGCTGCATCTGAGAGGGCGGAGGGACGGGTGGCGGATTCCAACCCGCAGGTGGAGGAACAGGCTGACCGGCCTGCTGTTGTTGATGCGTCATCATCCACGGCTGCGACTGCTGTTGCTGCTGGTAGTGCTGCGTTTGAGACGGATCGTTTGTCATGGAAGGTGGCGGAGCTATGCCTCCTGGTGGTGGTTGTTGCATCATATTTGATAGACGAAGAGAAGAGATTCAGAAGACCTCGAGGCTCGAAGAGGAGAAGAAACCCTAAGAGAGAGAGAGGGATTTTATTCGCAATCTGTTGGGCTTCGAAACTGAGGGGATTTTGCATTTTATTTGGGTTAATACAGAGGACGACTGTAATGGTGACACGTGGATAGTTGAAGTTTGATGGGTTTCATATTTTGTAAGAAAATTGGCTATTGGGCTTGTAGTGGGTTTGGGCTATTTTGTATTTAGGATAAATGCACTCAATGGTCATCAAACGTTTAAGACACTATCAACTTAGTCACCGCTGTTATAAATTATGATTAATATGTTAATTTTATAAATATATTTAAATCAATGTTATAAAATTAATATATTAATTGTAGTTTATGATATAATTACTAAATTATTATAAAATAATTATAATTAATATATTTACAACTGATCAAGAAAGTATTTATTTGTTATTATATCGATCATCCTTGTTTTGGGCTTTCAAATTGGATTTAGATAAATAGTCTACATTCGTGGATAATTTTTTCACGTCTCTCGACTCAAATTTATTATTTTATTTGCAATTCGATCAAATATGTTCATATCTAACTTTTGTTCGAGTTTTTTTATTAGGTTTTTAACCTTTATTTGTAATTATAGAACAATTATTTCAATTATTTTTCACCGTGGATTTATCTTGTTGGAAAGAGACCTCAACGTTGTAAATGTTTGCTTGTTTTCAATCATCTCTTTCAATGACAACTATGTTTCGTTTTTTACACGATTTATATATCTTGGAACCAATGGTGATGTTACGATATATCGTTTTCTGAAATTTTAAAATTATTATATATTTTAGGTTTTTTATATAGTTTTTATTAAAAAATTTATTTTTATTTCTTAAAATTTTATAAATTTAAATTTAGCCCTAAAATTTTAAAATTTTAAATTCACTCTTAACATAAAAATTTATGTATTTACCTAACTATAGATTCAAACAAAGCTTCCAAAGCTAGGAATCTTGTTTACAAGGAAACATAATCAATTATCCTATGGGTAAACCATTTTTTTGTCACTCAACTTTAATTTTTTTTTTAAATTCATCCATAGATTTTTTAATTTTGTTCTAGTCGCTCGACCGTCAAGGGTTTAACGCCGTTTAAGTTTATCTAATAAATTTGTATAAAAAACCCTAAAACTTTCTTTCCGTACCGTTATTTTCAGCCTCCTTTTGATTTGTTAGCAATAGAATATTGTCTTTTAAATTTGAACGATATAAAGATCGAGGAGGAAGAGGAGAAAAAAATAATATATCTAATTTTACGTTGATGAGATTTTGAAGATTGTATATTGAAGCTCTAACTTGAATTTCGTAAATTTTAAAGAGATTTCGTGGAAAGCTAAATTAAGAAGAAGAAAAAAGAGGGGAAAAAGAAAAATATTTTATACCAATTACGTTGTAAATGATGACTAACAATATGCGAACATTGGCGGAGAAGGATTTCGATCATTTAAAAGAAAAGGTAAAAATTGTAAGAAAATTCCATAAATAAACACCCCGAAATGTAGTATTTTACTTTGTCGTAAAACATTTAACGGTCAATCTATCAAAATAAAAATAATTTCAAAATTGAGTGATCAAATTAAAAAAAATATTAAGTGGATTGATCGAAACAGAAACACAACCGAAGTTGGATGACTAAAGAAACGTAGTTTACCTTATTCAATTAGGGGTGAAAAGTAAGCCCACGATAATGAAAACAAACTGATAGCTCATCTTACTAAAGACATATATTAAGGTCCCTGCACTGAAAAGATTCCACTGCAAAAGCCAACAAAACAAAGATCAATAATTTGCTCTCCATGGATATGTTCCTCTCACGCACAACCATGAACACCATCTTCGCAGTTCTCTTGCTTCTGATCCCGGTGTTCGTCCTCCTTACATGGCGAGAAAGATCACCAGAAAGGGTTCCTCCCGGTTCACTCGAACTACCTCTAATAGGTCAAAGCCTTGGCCTTCTCAGGGCAATGCGAAGCAACACGGCAGAAGAATGGCTCCACAAGAGGATAAGGAAGTACGGTCCGATATCGAAGATGTGTCTGTTCAGGAAGCCGGCTGTTTTCACCTAGGGTCAGGCTGCAAACAAGTTTGTGTTCGCCAGTGACAGCAGCAGCATCGTTAACCAGCAAGTGAAATCAGTTGAAGCGATTCTCGGCGACAGTTGTATCTTGGAACTGGTCGGGGAAGATCATAAGCGTGTCCGAGATGCTTTCATGTCGTTCTTGAAACCCGAATCGTGGAAGCAGTTTATCGAAAATATGGATGAAGAAGTCAGGAATCACCTTGAGATGCATTGGCAAGGAACAAGTGACGGCATTGCCACTGATGAAGACCCTTACATTCAACATAATCTGTTCTCTTCTATTTGGGATCGAAAGAGGACGAGAAGGGAGAAACTCGCAGACGATTTCCGGTGCATGATTGAAGGAATGTGGTCAATACCGGTTGATTTGCCGTTCATGCGCTACAACCGAAGCCTTAAATCGAGTGCAAGGGCCCAAAAATTGTTAAAACATCTCATTGATGAGAATAGAGAGGATCTAAAGCTGGGTGCTTCGCCTCGCCAAGACCTCATCACTTGTCTGCTGAGCATTCGCGACGAGGAGAACGAAAAAGTAGTATCCGAGAAAGAGATTATTCACAATGTTATGCTCATCATGGTTGCTGGATATGGCACCTCGTCTGTTCTTCTCACCTTCTTGCTGCACCTTTTCGCTAACGATCCTGCCATTTATGCAGTTGTTCTTCAAGGTGTATATCAATCCGATCTTAACTTTACGAGGTTAAGCTCGAAACAGTGTTGCAGAAAAGCACTAATGATTTGTTTATTTCTGGTAGCAGAACAAGAAGAGAGCAAAGAACAAACATGGAGAACTTCTGTCATGGGAAGACCTTACCAAGATGAAATACACATGGAAAGTTGCCCTGGAAACTTTGAGACTGTTCCCGCCGATCTTCGGTGGCTTCAGGAAAGCCGTAAAAGATATCGAGTATGGTGGATATCTGATTCCGAAGGACTGGCAGGTAAGTAGAACCATACATTCCATCCATTTTCTTTCAGCATTTCGGAAACTGATAAATTTTACTGATTTGTATCAAGATTTTCTGGGTTACGGGCATGACACGAATGGATGATACCATATTTCCGGAACCATCAAAGTTCGATCCAAATAGATTCGAGAATCCAGCTTCACTTCCACCTTACTGCTTCATTCCATTCGGAGCTGGACCTCGAATATGTCTTGGATACGAGCTTGCAAGGATTGAAACCCTCGTTTCGATTCATTATCCGGTTACAAGGTTCAAATGGAAGTTACTATGTTCAGACAACTCTTTCAGCAGGGATCCAATGCCTGTCCCGGCAAAAGGATTACCTGTTCAAATCAGTCCTAGGAAACTGGTCTGATATTTTAGTCTCCTGGTCACTTGTTTCAAAGAAACTTGCAAGATTTCTGTTGCAGGAAGAGACTTTTCTCATTACTGAATCTGTTTCCCAACCATGTCCGAAAAACAGCAAGCCCGAATTCGCAAAGCAATTAAGACTAGCTTTTTCAGAAAATACACGTATGAATTGTACGTCATTAAACAAGCAGGCATCACACCCCTATATATAAAACTATTACTCAACTAAAAGAATGGTTTTCAAGGTTCTAACAGCATCAATGCTCCATCTTCTATCATACAAAACAATTCAATACTTGTGATCTGTCTACTCATAGTCCAGTTACTATATTTACAATCGATACTGATACACGATTACTCGTGACGTATTGCATACGACCTGAATGACAATAGATGAGCTAAATGTAGTAATTGACCACTGGCATAATAATAAATGGCGGAAGCAAGACTGCCTAGCAATTTTGTGGCCTGAAGTACTTTGGCGGTTTAGAAGGGCACCGTTCATTCATATGGGGGTACGGGTCCAAGGAATT